CTCACGCACGCACGCGCACGCACGCGCACGCACGCACGCACCACGCACGCACGCACCACGCACACACACAGCACACACACACACACACACACACACACACACATATATAATATATATATATATAGACCGAGAGAGAAGGTAATCTTCTTTTAACGATCTCGGTATTCGAGCGATACAGCCATTATTCATGTAGCATCCTCTCAGCCATATATTAGGCCTACTCGCTTCCACTGTTACTTGGCAAATGTTCGAGGCAAAAGCTTTCCATGTACATGTACATATGAGTAAACACGTGAGAGCCCCTTCACGACTATATTTACAGATGGGTTAGTTGCATAACCATTAGAACACTCTAACAAAAACACTAACCGCCTAAAAGCGTTGAATATAAACAAACAAACGGGTTGAATATTCTTGACTTTCCGCCGTATGCTTTTTGATAAAACCTCCACGTGTGGATATTTTTTACAACAACACACGAACTAATGAAATTCACAACTATTCGCTAAAGGTACCAACGACCAAATTAGGTATGATATGTTATATAATTCATTCACAAAACAGTGGACTATCATTCTTTTTTTTCTAAAAATCGAAAAACGCACAATATACATTTAGATAATAAGATATAATATATTCAATGTATAGTATATTACTATAAAATTGATTTACATCAGCGTATTACACAGAACAGGTCTTTATGCAGGCCAGTACTTTATTCTGCTGCCTATATTAATTTCACTGCGGAAATCGGAGCTGACAGCTGTTGAATGTTTTCATAAAATGCGCAATTCGAAATGAATTAAATATTTATGCGAAAAACGCACCGCCGCGGGCGCTCCCCTACCAAAAAACGCGCATGAAACTCACGCAGGCTATATTCGCTCGGAATGTTTATCTAATGGATGCTTAGGGAATGCATTTGATTCGTGTTAAAAAAAAACAGGATGCCGATCTTGGACGTCAGATAAAGTTCCGTCTATAATTTCTGTAGATTTTTTTATCATATCTTCACCAGTGTTTTAAGCGGCTTGCTCTTCGCGGACAATCACGTGGAACACAGATCACACACAACTAACAACGTTTTTGCAATTCAGGGTGTGATCTCGTATTAGCCGCAAAACTTTCGCTAGAAATAAGATCACAGCTTTCGATGTATCACACTTCTCCGCACGCAGAGCTTACAAGGCCTTGGTTATCGGCGTAAGCGCCCACCAGGGTAGCCAGCACCTTCCTATCTGGAGCAAAAACTGCAAGGTGACGGGGCTGGAACGCGAGCGCAATAAATAGATTGTTTGCCTTACCCTACATGCTAGGGCGCTCTCCTAATTATAAGACAGGTCTACTGATAAAAGTTTATTAGGGAAATCTATTCTGAAATACCCTTAACCATTTATAAAATGCATATTCATCACAAAATATAACTCCTCTAGTGAGATATTGCGCACGCGCTAAACACACTAACGTAGTCAGATTGTGTACTGGCTTGTATACGCCAGCGGGGACCTTACATGCAAGGTCTCCTTCCTATTTCTTAAATGATGTTTACTGATGTAATATTATCATATAAATCTATGCTAGGATAACTCCTCTTTATTTTAAATGCATAATCTTTGCAAAATACGAGCTCACGGAAGTATTGCGCCATGCGCACGCACCGTGTTAGGCGTGCAGTGCCCTCTGAAGCAAACTCAAATATCAGCTTGCTGAGGGGGAAGAGGGATGGAGACTAAGGAAAGGCGGCAGAGAAGATAGCTGGGAGCGGTAGAAAAAAGAAGGAAGCTGAGCGAGGGACAGCTAGGGGAGGCAAGGGGAAGGACGCGAAGGCATAGAGTAGGTGTTTTGTACCCTACATATGCTAGGCGCGTCTC